TTTTGTTTCTATTTTCCTGCCATTTTACGCCCGGAAAATCTGAACTTGCCAATTGACACCCGGAAATTAAAAATGACGCCTGTAAGACTTCTCCTCTTCTACTGAGGCGTAACTTTCGTAAAATTCCGTCTCCGCCTCAAGTTCGCCCGGAATTTGCCAATTCCTGCTCAATTCCACCCAAATTCCAGGCGGAATCCGCCTTTAAAATTCATACAGGCAACACAGCTTCGAAGAAGTGAAGAAAGTATGTAAGAATTTAGTCCATGTAAAGATCTTCATTGTCATGGCTGTTTTGTTTGAATCACATCAGTTGTTAGAATTCATACATTGTTGATTTGAAATTGCATTTAAATCAAAATCTATGAACATTTCTTTATTTTAGTTCACTGGAGCTGAGAAATTACTTTCACTCTTGGTTGTAACCATAATATATTTTTGTCATTCTGAAAAGTATAAAAAAAAAATGAAAGTTTTGATATTTGTGTGGGTGTATCGATCCGTAGAAAAAATATCGCAATGCACCGATACACTGTATCGTCCCAGCCCTATTATAGACTTATATATTTTCACTCCTTATTTCACATAAACTTAATATTCTATTTAAATTTTAGCTTGTTCCTGACGTGACTCAGTACAAATTTAAGGCTGCTAAACAGCATTGCAACCAGTTTGGTATTGGAGAGCCTGTGTCCAAGAGAAAACAAGTCAGAGAAAAGTTTGATGTTAGTCAGCTGGATCACTTCATTGATTTCATACTCTCCAGTCATATTATAAAAGATCAGCCTTTTGGAGAGAAGACATTGAAACTACCATGTGGAGAAATAATCAAGATACCAAGTGTGATAAGAAGTCTTGCGCCATCAAGGATAATAGCCCAATACACAGCAGTATGCAATGAAGAGAACATAAAGCCATTAGGTATATATAAAAGTTTTAAAGTTTTTTTTGCCCATTTCCACTATTGAAGACTGAGAAGGCATTATACATCTGCTGTCTGTTTCCATAAGGCTTTTAAAACACCTTACATAACAGAGGATATATTTTCAAAGGTAGATTATAGAACATATTTTCTCTGTAGTTTTGGTGTTTTCTACCTCAAGGGGATTTATATAACTTATATTTTTTTTTTCATAAATTGTGTAACATTGTTTTATTCAGCACTGCACTAAAATGCAATGAAAATTATTGCAGTAGTCTAAGGGTTGAATTAGTTCTGCCCTTAGCAAAAACAAATGCTATATTTGCATTGATTTTTGATTTTATTTGTCTTGAAAATACATTGAACATTGGTTATGCATTTATTTTTGATTGAATCCAATTCAAAAATCTTCAGACCATTGATTTTGGAATGATTGAAATTTGATTTTTTCAATAAATGTTGTTTCAATGCATTTATTTTGCATTTATTTTGAATTTATATGATGTCATACCAATAACAAATTACACATGAAGTGATCTCTTTGGTAAATCTATGATTGAATTTGTATTTATTTTCTGAAGCATTTATATACCAAAGAACGGAAGCTTTATCAGCTGTGTATATTGCTGGTTATATTAGTGCTGACCAGCTGTAACATATCCAGGGAGAGGCTGATAAAAATCACGTGATTACTCTACGTCACTTTATCAGCCATTTCAAATTCTGCTGGCGCTGCATCCAGACAAGCTAGAAGCCATGATGTACTTTGATGGAAATGATCAACATTTTGATGTGTTCTTCCCTTTGGACTAAACTATTCATATTATGGCAAAAAGTTGTGTAGAATCTAAGAATGATGAAGACAGCTAGTGTTGTTTTGTGACAGACAAGTGATATTGAAGGTGATAGAAAGATGGTGCTGTTGAAGTAGATGCCATACAAATAATGGATACATTGTTTTCTCAGGAAGTAAGTTATAAATTTTTTTCTCAAAATTTATTCTTAATCTCTGTTTATAGCATTATTTTACCCATCATTACACATTCTGTGGAATTTCAGAGAGGGGAACATGCCAAGTATTACCGGTAAATTTCACTCTCCAAGGAAGTCTTATGATGTAAACAAAGATCGGGGCTTAATGGAAGGGGCTTAATTTCCATCACGTGCTTTCTGATCAAATTAAGTTAATCTATGCTCTTTGTTTAAGCAACACTGCTGGTGTCCACTGCTGAGCAGATAGTGTAACTATAAACTAATTAGTCTACACTACAGAATTACTAATTATGCACAAAACCTCGAAACACCATGCAGTCTTGACTCTCATTTCTTTTTTATTTAAAAGATTCATTTATTTATCAAATGATAAATATCTTGAATGTGTTTTTTTTCAGAGTATGTACTTGCTCCAAGTGCAAAAATTTGAAGATAGATCCTGTGCCACCGAAAATGTTCAATAAATTTAAAGCAATCTATAGTTAAATGGAAAAAAAAGATTTAACTAATGCAGTTCTACAAAAACTACCAATAACAGTCCAGAAAGTGAGAAACTTATTTGCTGAGTGACATAGAAATGGAATTCAAGGAAGTGTACTTCAAATTGTGCCTTTGTGATATGTGATTAATGTATGGAACTATACTGTTATTGTGTCAGTGATTTTTGGGTGTTATTCATGTCTCACACACATTCAAGTGTAACATTTAATTAATAGGAAGTTAGTAATTCATTTACTTGAATTTATAACTGTACTGGTGAATTTTTAAGATAAGTATTCAAAATTTTGGTAAAGATACATGTGATGGATTATTAGTACATGTAATAATGTTTGCATTGAGCATGATGCTGGATATTGTTTGTTACCATATGTATTTATTCTATGTTACTTCTCAAGTTTCATAACATCACTTAAATGTTTTTATATGTATTACTTTAACATTTTTCTGTGATGTCACAATAATGCTAAGTGACATAAAATAAATGCTTCCTACTGTATTTCATTTGTTTTGCATTGTTTTTGCATTTTTCCGTGATGTCAAATTAATCCTTCATCTCATTTACATATTTCGCAAAAATCCAGCCATTTTCAATCAAAAGTCAATGCAAAATAAATCAAAATCCAATGTTCAATGCTATTTCAATGTTTTTTCCCCATACAATTTAGCAAGGAGGCACAGTTGATTTCTTTGCAAATCAAAAAACAATGAAAATTCAATGCTAAGAAAACAACTACAAAATAAATCAAAATTCAATCAATTTGATTTTGCTAAGGGTGGTTTTACATTTTGATTAAACTTTTCTAATTTTATTCAAAACAGGTTCAAGCACATTGTACAAACTCCTAGATGACTGCTCTGCATTGGTCAGGCAAAGCATTGAAGGTCTTGACAACTATGTTATGGAGGGTTGTAGAGCTTTTAAAGACCTAGAGTCGGCAGTCCAAGACCTTGGATTGACAAGCATGGAATCCAACTCTGTGCAAGAAAATCTGCAAAATGCAAAGCGATACCTTAAATCTGAGCTAAAGGTAATCACAAAAGTAATTATTTAGAATTCAATTCTAATTGCAAAAATATATACAAACTTGATTTTGGATCCAGTGTTTGCCAAACACAGTGACAATATATATGAATATACATGTACATGTATGTATTCAACATTTGTATTTCCAATTCAGTTTAGTTTTTCTTTCATTTAGCAATCAATATAATTTGTTCAATGTGTTGTAGGTACATGTCACAAGGGAAAACCCAGTTGCTGATCATTGCCTGTCATATGCTCTGAGTTCAACAGATTCCAACTTCAAAACTTTATGTGATCATAACCATGACTCATCATGCCAAGAGTGTGTAAACATGAATACCACTTTAAACCTCATCAAGAGCAAGGCGGAGATACATGAATGGAGAAACAAGGAAGCTGTTTTGTACACTGTAATGCCTTACCAAGTTTCCATATATATATGTACTTTAAATATATTCTACATGCTTTGTTCCTCCCTTGAAACTAATCCATTTTAAACTTCCTGATAGATTTATCAGTTGACATTTTGAGGTTTATTGGTATACCTTTTAATTGAATTTGTATCTGATTTATTTTGATCGAATAAGGGTTTTGTAAATGTTTCACTAACAAATCTTATAATTTTCTTTCTTCTTCTTTAGGTAGAAGAGTCGATATCGGCAATACGGAACTGGAAAAGCCATGTGATTCGTTCAAGAAACCAGGAGGAGGCTAGATCCGTGATTGTTGACAACATGACAAATGTTGATGCTGTCATCACTTGTGATTGGGCTATGAAATTTCTTCCAAGGAAATATAGAGAAGGTACATTTTAGTTTGTTGATTGGAACTTGGATTCATTAAAGATGATATATTTATTTTGATTTTAATCATAGTAGCCAGGTGCTTTGGTAATTGCTTAGAAATTCAACTTTTTTTTGACTGTCTAAAATTATTTATAGATTTTAAATCTCAAACTGAAGGATCATCTCCCTCAGGCATAGCTCTATCCGTCAACAGATTTGGCTCCATTTTTCATTATCTATTTGAGATTCATGGGTGCTCTAATTTACCCTTTTCACAGCCTTTCATATTTCAATTAATCTTTTCTAATTGTCTGGTTTTTTTTCAGTTGTCTCTCCAGTTGTCAACATCATTGATGTGACATTGTTTTAATCTTTCTTTGAAAAAAAAATAATTTCTTTATTTTAGGACAAGTAGACTGGTTTGCAAAGAGGGGCATAAACTGGCACATAACCGTTTCACTTCTAAAACATCATTGCTCCTATTCTACGATAACGCACATCCATATATTTGAACAACCAACAGCACAGGATGCAGCAGTCACATCACAGATCCTTGTGGATGTTTCAAAGGATATAATGGCCCTTAAGAAAGATGTAACCCGGTTGCATTTTTCTCAGACAATGCTGGATGTTTACAAAAGTTCCTCCACACTGTTGACTCTTCAACATGAACTTCCCTCCAGTATAGTGTCCTACAACTTTTGTGAGGCACAGAATGGAAAAGGTATATATATATATATATATATATATTAGGGATGTCAAATCGGTCAATTTTTGATACTCGGTTACTCGGACGTTTTTCCGATCGAGTACCCGGGTACTCGGTAAAAATCAAATAAATATGAACAAGTTAAATGGTAACTGTAAAACATTGAAATAAAACCGCATGGTCCGGTGGGAGGTTTACCCGTAAATGTGTTGTAACAATTATGACCACTTTGTGCCCGACAAAATTAAATCTAACACTTTTTTTAAAGTCCAATTTATTTATCAGATAAATGCGAGAAATAAAATCATCAATGGCTCACAGTGGTTTTGTTTAAAAAAATAATATGTTCCCTAATTGTAATTTAACTCTATCAATGCATTTGACGTCCAAGTGATAAGTTGTCAGAGCTACATGTACAGTATCAACTTGATCATGTTCTAACAGAGCGGATTTACAATCTTCGTACACTTTTCGATCATTGATTTTATTAAAATTACGAGACGGTATGTTGTAGTTTGGTGCAACGATGGACATAAGATTTATAAAACATTTGCATTCAACCATTTGCATTAATTGGCACGTAATCAAACGCATCCATATCAACAATCGCACGTGCAATATTGTCTGTCTCTTTCCCCGATAATCTATGGTTTCTGGAGAATTGACAAAATTATCTAATTTACTTAACCATAATAGACCTTAAATGATGTTCAATGAAAACAAATAATTAGAGCAAACTAAACATAAGGGTAGAAGACAGCCAAAGGTGAGAAAAGCCAGGTAGGTAGCAGGTGCTTGGTCGGAATAATTACAGTTACTGTATAAACATTGCCACAGGCGATAACGGTCATTTAGAGGCTCAGGAAACCCTAATTACTGTATGTACCAGTGCAATGAACATTTTACATTTAAAACCGATATTTTAATGCATTAATAAATAAGCTTAGAAATATTTTAAAATATACTTCCGAGTAACCGAGTACCAATTTTAGTATTCGATACTCGGACGTTCGATCGAGTACCCGGTTAACCGGGTACTCGTTGACATCCCTAATATATATATATATATATATATAAAGTATATATTGTTCGTTTGTTGGTTTTATTATAGATGCACATTCAAGCTATTTCTTAGTCATCAGATCATTGCACCGTTGCTCTAACCACTGCATCATGCGGATGATATAAAAATCAATGAAACAAATACATGTTATGTATAAGGTTAA